AGGATCCCAGGATCCAGGCCCCTGCGGCACCAGCCAGGTAGGTGGAGATGGGGAGAGTATGCAGAGTTCCAAAGACCTCGGACTTCGAGGCAGGTCGGGGGCCGAGGTGAGCAAGCTGAACTCAAGCGGACCCTACCCCTGAGAAGAATGGCTGCAGGCCCAGCTCCGGGCGGGCAGGAGTTCTGTGTCCCGGAGTCAACGGACGGGCGCTTCCTGCCTCCAGCCAGGCCGCTGTCTTCACGCTTTCCGAACATGCGGCCTCCTCTCCAATTCCCAAGCCCAACCCACAGAGACAGCGACCTTGGGGTCTTCGTGAGGTTTGTCAGCAGCCTGACCGGTTGCTTCCCACCAGCCTCCGCGCCGGTTCTGGAAAGTTTCCTTCCCTGCTACTCCCCTGGTGGGAGCTCTGGGGCAGGGCTCTCTGGCTGCAAGCATGGGGTCCCAGAACCTCCTGGCTCTTGTCACTTCTAAGGTGGAAAACCAACCCAGGGCTGAACCAGCAGATGGGTGCCTGATTCCTTATTATCAAAGAGCTCCGCCTACACTGGCAAGTCTCTCTCCCGCCTCAGTTTCCTCTTCCATTCAACGAGGCTTGGGGGATACCAAGGAGGGTAACTATTTAGTGAGGATGGGAGGTTTCTTCTGGGGGAGATGAATACATTTTGAAACTAGATGGCGGAGTGGTTTTGCACAGGACTGTGAAATGCAGAAATGCCAGCACATTAACCCGCGCTGAAATAGTTAACTGCATGCGATGTGAAAGTCACCTTACTGCAAAGTGTTTAAAAAGGACCTGGGAGAGTGCAGGTGTATGTGAGAATCACGTGGACACCCATCGCCTCTGAACCTCGGCCTTCTTGCCGTAAACTGGCAAAGAGAGGGTGTGAGCTGTGTTCCTGGGGCCAAGAGATTCAAGAAGGAAACCTGGGACTCCTGACTGGATGACGGCCAGGGGCCGGAACGGGAGGGGTACGTGGGGATGGCTGGGGACAGCCTTTCAGATAAGGCTTTCTGGGCTCACTGGGTAACAGCATCTACACAGACGGAGATCCCTGCACCTCACCCGCAGGGCTGACCAGTGACTCAGAGGTGGACTGGACAGCTCGGCCTCAACCAAGCCTGGGAGCAGAGGACACTGAGAAAGGGGATCCCTGGGGCCACCTTCATTGGCCTGTGGCTGTCCTGACACCACAAGAGGTCTGGTGGAGCTGACCTTGGTCCTGATGGGGACACCTTCCTGACTGCAGGCTGGCAGGGTGGTGTGGTGGTCAGTGAACTGGGCTCTGCCTCTCCGCCCCTACCTGCTGTGTGACGGTGGGCCAGACACCTAACCTCTCTGTGCCTCTGTTTCTTCAATGGCGAACAGGGACACTAGCAGCCCCACATCCGGCACTGTGGCCTGAAGGTTAAAGGCAAGGGTGGCACGAGACCTACAGCAAGAGCTTGAGCAGGGAGAGCAGGGAGCTGCCCAGGAGTTCCACCACCATCTCCCTCTCTGGCCGCGAGGAAACCGAGGCTCATGGTGACCTGGCCCAGGTCTGTTGACTCAGGGGTTCTTCTCATCCCCAAGATCAGAGGGCTGCCACCAGGAAGGAGCTGGCTCCCTAGACACAGCCCAGGAAGCACACAGGAAGGATGCCTTGGGACTTCGGCATGTTATTGCAGAAAAACCACATTTATTGCTATTTGAACCCTGCTTTCATGCCTCCATTACCTGGTAGAAAATGAGCCACGGAGACACCAGGAGAGGCAGGAGATCATCCTTGCACAAAACCCACTCCCTGGACGCTGTCCTCAGCGAGGTGGCTGGGGGCTAACCAGGGGGCCCACCAAGAGAGTGGCAGAGGAGGTAGGTTGACCCTGTGGACGTTGAGTCATGGCGAAGGTCCTGGCCTTCAGAAGAAGAGCGACTTCTCGCAGTCCAGGAGAAGTTGTGGAAGTTGTGGGAGATGGTGTGGTCGGCCGCGTGTAGAGATCTTCAGCTGTGCCTTCTTGTTGCCCAGGTCCAGGCGGGGTTACTTCAGAGCCAGCTGGTAGTACCCAGCTGCATCAAACAGGTCCTGAAAGGGACAGGCCATGCTCAGCAAAAGGGGGACTCGCAGCCCGTCTTCCCAGAGGCCGTTCCTGTGTCCAGGTCATTCCACATGTCCAGCCAATGCTGGCTCACCCCATGAGCCCCGAAGCCTGTGACACTGCTGTGGTCTCAACTGCAGGAGGTGGGGACGACCCCGACACCCCCTGGAAGCCTTCCTGACTGCCCCTACGCCCCACTCACCCCAAGCCTTGCCCCTAGTGCCAGCCTCTCTGCAGGCAGTGGCTGTTTTCCCCATGGGCTGAGGGTCAGGCAGATCCTGCCTGCTCTTGGAGTTCCATGCAGGACCTGGGTGGCTCTGCCACAGCAGGGGCACAGCACTGAGTGACCCAGGCTCCTCTCTGGCCCTGTCCACGCTGACTACTTCCAGGCCCTCCACGGGCCAGGCCAGGTACAAAACCATTCTCAGGTGTCCTCTCTGTTCCCTGACATATTGACGGGGAGTGTGACTCTCAGACATCCATTCTATTTTCACTGCATCTTTGCCTTCTCAAACTCACCATCCCTGGTTTGCATGAGCCGCCTACCAGACCTCCTCCTTCACCCTCCTGCTGCCCCAATTCGGCCCTAGGCACCTCCTCCACATGGGGGTCACCCAAGGAATCTCTCTAAGACCTGATGCTGGCCTGTTCTCTACTATCTCAAAATGGCTCTAGGCCAATGATAAAGTCCAAGATGTGTCAGCAGTCCATTCTCACTGCCCCGCCCCACACACGGAGCAGGGGCGGAGAAGTCCCGAGTCACCTCCACTGCTCATCAAATGCTCCCAGCCCAGCCGAACACTGGACTCTGTGCTGGGTGCGTGGCTGAGCCTAACTTCCTTGCTCCCAGTCTGAGGGACCTGGAGTCAACACTGACCACACAGGTGGCCTGGGCTGTGGCAGAGGGAAGCTCAGGAGCCTGTGGGGTCCCCTTGGTGAGGGCCTGACTCAGCCGGGGGTGGGAAGGCAAAGGCTTCCTGAAGGGGTGGGGGCTTCCTAACTAAACAGGAAGGAGCCAGCCAATGTATATGTTCTTGCGTGTGCCTGAGCATGCGTGCAAGGCATTTGTGTGCCTGTGTGCAGGCCTGTGTGTGCGTGTGCTCAGCCTGTGTGAAATTGCGATGCATTTCCGTGTCTGTAGTGTGTGCAGCAGCTAGTGAGTGACAGGCTGAGCCAGGACACACCTAATCCACCCTATTCCAAGGCTCACTCTCATGTGTAGACTAAAGGGGACCCCATTTTAGAGGCAATCAGCAAAGATGCCCATTTACCCCTGCTTCTCTGCCAGCCTTCCAGGCTCCATCCAGCCCGGCTTTTTCTCCCACTCCTCTGGGCCCTGGGTCCAGAGCCTCCTAAGGAAGGAGAAGGGTGTAGCCTTGGAAAGACAGCTGCCCTTGGGGAATTCCAAGGAGGCCTCCCTGTGGGAAGCTGGCCTGCACTGACAGCATAGTCACGATGAGGCCCAGAGTGCTGTGCATGGGAAGGAGGTGAAGGAGGGCTGCATGGGAAGGAGGTATGGAGGCCTCTGCCTCGACCCCAACCATGGACTTTGGCCTCTCAGGTACTACTTGGCCCTTTCCTTTCTCCTGGACAGGTGCAGTGGGCGGCAGGCTTCACCAAGAGAGATAAAGGCCTCTTCTGGGAGGTCCGTCCCCCTGGGTCCCAGGCGAGCCCCTGAGCGGTGAGCAGCGTCCCTCTGGGCCTGACACCTGGCACCTCCATGTCTGGCTGGGACTTGGGAGGCCACAGGGACCACTTCTGACAATCAGGTGTCGCCAGCACTGAGCTGAGGCCTCCCGGGCAGCCCCAGACCTGTTGTGGGGGATACGGGGCAGGGTCTTAGGGCTGACCCAGCTCCTCATGTTGTCCGAAGGCCCCCAAGATCTCGGCCCCTGGACTGGAGTGCCCTGGCCCCTCAGCCCATAAGGAGCACTGACACGGTGCCAGTGCAATGCTGAGGAGAGGCGGTGCCTGCTGGGCAGAGGGGTGGACACACCCCAGGTCTGAGTCTGCCAGTCCCAGCTCTCCACCCCTGCAGGGCTGGGGCAGAGGGAGCACAGCCCCTCCCCTCGAGACACACCCGACCCAGCAAGGCCTCAGCCTGGTTGGCTGGGGCCTCGCCCCACTGCACCTGCCCTGAGCTGGGGTTTCCCTGTCTCTGAACCCAATGGTAAGATACTGGTCCCACCCCACCCTTCCTGGGTGGTGTGAAGATTCAAGGTGTCTCGGGACTCCAGGAAGGAGTTGCTCAGTGCAGGCTGGCACCCTGGGCAGGCTTCCTAGAGGAGGTGCCAGGATTTGGGTTACATCTTGCAATGTGGATTCAATGTGAGGATGCTGCTGTCCTCTGAAATGTCCTTCTCCCAACCCTGTTTTCTTTGTTAAATGCAACTTGACATTTGACTGTCAAGACTCAGCTTTGGTGTCACCTCCTCCAGGAGGGCCCCCCTGACTACAATCCCCCTTCTTTACCCAGAGGCCACCATTGCCCACTCATGTGTCAGCCTCCCTGGCTGAGACTGAGTTCCTGAGGGTGGGGCCTGGCCATCTTGGGAACTGGGTTGTGTCTCCTAACCTTGCCGGCTCCTCCAGCCATGTGCAGAGTTCCAGGGAGGCCACTGGGCCATTCCTAAGGAAGGCTGGAACCCAGGCCTCTGGGGTCTGGGTGGAGATCTCATTCCGAGGGGGCCGGGAACACCCCAAGCCCTGCCCCTCCCCACCCACCTTCAGGTCGTAGAAGATGATGCCACCGAGCACCAGGTACACCTTCACGTAGTACAGGGTCTCCTCGTCGAACTCCAGCGGCGAGTTGCAGAGGTACAGGGCCTTGAGGTAGAAGTGCTCCGCCAGCTTGCCTTGGCCCAGCCAATGGTGCAGGGCGGCCGGCCGGTGGTAGGCCACGTGCTCGTTTAGCCGGTCCCCTGGGGTGCAGGCCAAAGGGACAGGTGTGAGGACATGGCTCCTTGGGGCAGGGAGGGCACAGGCCCCTCAGGAGCAGGTATGCAGACCCCGGGCAGCACACCTGGCTTGCCTCTAGGCACCTGTGGTCACCTGGGCAGCTATGGCCAGTCCCTTCCAGGTTCCCAGACTCACTTTCCCATCTGCAAAGCAGAACTAATAAGGCCTGCCCCTGTCTACTGTGAGGCTTTGGCAACGTCGGACTTGGATGGCCCAGCTCTGTGTCTACACATAGCCACCTGCCTTTGCTCACTGGTTTTAACCAGGGGAGCCCAAAAGCCATGCAGTTCAGGTGCTCCCGGGCACCCCAGCTCCAGGCAACCCACAGACGTGACATCTGACTCCTGCTGGGTGTGTCACGATCAGAGCCCCCTACCTTGGGGAGTCAGCTGCACACCTACTGTGTACTGCGCCACGGGGCACAAGGCGCTGGGGCATGTGGCCTGCCTAGGGTTCCCTGTCTCTGGAGAGGGACAGATGACCCTGGCACAGCACCAGGGGATGCCTGGTCTTAAGGGGCAGACTGCTGGAAGGGGAACTGGGATTTTATCAGCCAGAGAGCCGTGTGGTTGATGAGGGTGGGAAGGGCACAAGAGAAAGGGAATGTGCCACTCAGCCTGGCACATACAGGGACCAACGAGATGCCTGGCATGTCTGGAAGGCAGAGGGCACACTGGGCGGCCCTTGTGGTCAGCAGTGGAAACAGGCAGAGGAAGCAGAACTCAGTCAGGCAGGGAGCTGTGCACTGTGTGAGAGACCTCGGGTTGTTCCTCACAGCCGGACGGGGAAGCCAGGTGGGCAGATCTGCCTGCCTGGACAGGAGCCCAGGAAAATCCAGCAGCTGTTTCAGCTCCTGGCCTGCAGACCTGGAGGCTGGACTCTGGCAAAGTGTGGGTCCTGGCAGGGCAGGGGCTGAGGGGACTTACCCAGAGTGATGCTGAGTGCTAGGGCCATGTAGGCAAACTCCATGCCCTCCTAGGGCTTTTCCAGTGTGTCCAGCAGTGCCACCAGCTTGTTGCACAGCTGTAGCTGCAGCTCCACCTTGCGGTTGCCCGTAGTCATTGCCAGGGGCAGGGCCCGGTCCTACCACACAGGCAGGTGGGGTCAGGTTTCCCGCAGCACCCACCTTGACCAGCGCCCTCCTCAGAGCTCAAACATGTGCTTGGAACTTCCCAGGCCCCAGCTACCCCTGCATCTCGACACAGTTCTGTGCTCTGGGATAACACACAGTTCAGACACCCAAGTTGGGGGCTGAAGAGTCACCTGAGGCCCATCCAGCTACACCTGAGAGCCTCAGACCAGCCTCTCCCACCTGGGCACCGTGGGTCTGACTGGGGGGAGCCAGCACTCCTCTCTGCTCTAAAAATGCCACATTGATCTGTGCCCAGGGCTGAGCCACACCGTGACCTCAGAGGAAGGGAGAAGCCGTCCCACTTCGGGGTACATGCAGACCTGGGCCTCCCACTGATATGCTGTGTGTCCTTTGACATATCCCTGTGCCTCTCTGAGCCTCAGTTTCCTCATCTGGAAGATGGGGACAAGACTTCCCACTCATGGTTGCTTGAGGACATCAGGTACAAGGATACAGCCATTGTCACGGCCAGGACCCGAGCGTTTGTCCCGGACAGGGGCATGGTCAATATCATTCCTGGTGAGACCACTTAGAAACTCATCATGTGCATGGGTGGCCCTGCCTCCAGGTGTGAGGCCACTAGCCTGCCACACCTGTGCCTCAGCCCTCCGGGTGCCCCACTGAGGCCCACCCACATCAGCCCACAGGCCAGCTCACCCGGTAGAAGGACATGCCTTCCTCCCGCTCCTAGGCCCCATTGAAGAAGATGTCTCCAGCTGCCTCAAACAGCTCCAGCCCCAGGTTGGGGTCACCTGTGTACAGGTCCACATTCTGTGCCACCTGAAAGGACACAGAAGTTCCCTCAAGACCCACACCTAGCGAGGTGGCTACGCGCACCTTTGCCAGGCTCCTTCCTCTCACACACTACAGGTACACCTGAGCATTTTTCAGACCCTGTGCATGAGGGCTGCCCCCACCACTGGCATGAGGACAATGAACTGATGCACCTGAGTGCTGGGAGGCGACTGAGCAGCTGCAGCCCAGGACCCTGACACCTGTGAATCCTACCAACAGCACTAGCCCTAGCCCACTACCCCTGCACTCAAACCAGTCTCCGTGGCCCCCAGATTGCTGGGAGCCCAGTCCCTGGCTCCTTTATGTGTTGCTACATCCCTGCCACATCAGCAGTGTTTGTGGGTGGGCCTGGTCCCCTCTTGGCCATGAGCTCTTGTTCCCTCTCCTCAGCTCAAGGAGGTATATAGCAGGTGCTCAATAATGAAAGCTTCACCAGGTTCGTGGGCTTCACAATTTGTACCAGATCACACTGTGTTTCGGAAAGCCTCTGAAAACAGCCACTATGATAGATTCATTTTGTAAGATGTGCCACGTGTCGCTTGGAGCAAGTTCTTCTGTGTGTTAACTGAGTGGTCACATTATTTGAGCATGTGCTTATACCAGCAGGTGCTGTGCACCGTGAGGGGCCGCGCCTCTGCCCTCAGGGAGAAGATGTTGGCCACTGGGGGAGGATGTGAGGGAACCCGTTGGAGGGAGGGAAAAGGCACACAACAGGTGCTCAGCAGTGGCTTAGGAATGAGTGGATGGATGGATGAATGAATGAGGAGAGGTAGACACATGGATGGATGGATGGGTGTGTGGATAGATTGATGGATGGATGGATGGATGGATGGATGGATGGATGGATAGATGGGTGGAATGATGTGTGTATATCTGTATGTATGTATGGGTGGGTAGATAATGTATGGATGGGTGGAGGGTAGATGATGTATGTACATGTGGATGGATAGATGGTGGATAGACGAATGTATGGATAAACAAATAGACAGATAGATGAATGGAGGGATGCATTAATAGGTAGATTGGTGGGTGGGTGGATGGATGAACGATGGATGGATGGATGGACGAACGGTGAATGGATGGATGGGAGGAAGGATGGATGATGGAAGGATGGATGGATGGAAGGATGGATGAATGGATGAATGGATGGGTGGATGGATGATGGATGGATGGAAGGATGAACAGGTGAATGGATGGATGATGGAAGGATGAATGGACAGATGGATGGAACAACAGATGAATGGATGGATAGACGGGTGAATGGATAAATAAAAGGATGGATGAATGATGGATGGATGAAGGGACGAATGGATGAATGGACAGATGGATGGATGATGGATGGATGGACGGTGGATGGATGGATGGATGGATGGATGATGGATGAATGGAAGGATGAACAGATGAATGGATGGATGATGGAAGGATGGATGGATGAATGGATAGATGGATGAATGATGGATAGATGGAAGGATGAACAGGAGGTGAGTAGATGGTTGATGGAAGGATGGATGGATATATGGACGAATGGATATATGCACGAATGGATAAATGGATGAATGGATAAATGGATGGATGGATGAATGATGGATGGATGAATGGTGGATGGATGAATGGTGGATGGATGAATGGTGGATGGATGGAAGGATGAACAGGTGGATGGATGGAAGGATGGAAAGATGAACAGGTGAATGGATGGTTGATGAACATGCCCCTCTCCCCCTGGCTGGGAGCCACCTCGCAGGGGTGAGCCACCCCCCGAGGTGGGGACCTCAATAGCCACCCCTCTCCCCCCTGGTTAAGGTTGTAGATTACCTCGCAGGGGGTGAGCCACCCCGCTGGTGGGGACCAACAGCCACCCCCTCTCCCTGCTATTGGGAGCTACTCGCAGGGGGTGAGCCACCCCGCGAGGTGGGGACCAGCCACCCCTCTCCCCCTGGCTGGGAGCCACCTCGCAGGGTGAGCCACCCCCCGCGAGGTGGGTAATCACGCCACCCCTCTCCCCTTGGCTAGGAGTTAGGAGCCACCTCGCGATGGGGTGAGCCACCCCCCGCGAGGTGGGGACCAATAGGCCACCCCTCTCCCCTTGGCTATTGGGAGCCACCTCGCAGGTGGCGAGCCACCCCGCGAGGTGGGGACCAGCCACCCCCTCCCTGGCTGGCTGGGAGCCACCGCAGGGGGTGAGCCACCGCGAGGTGGTAACTGGCCAGGGCCACCCCCTCTCCCCTGAAGTTGGGAGCCACCGCAGGGGGTGATACTCCTCGCAGGTGGGGACCAATAGCCACCCCCTTCCCCTGGCTATTGGAGCCACCCCCAGGGGGTGAGCCACCTCCCGCGAGGTGGGGACCAATAGCCACCCCTCTCCCCTTGGCTGGGGACATTTCGCATGGGCAGCTTGCACTCCCCGCGGTGGGGACTAACAGCCACCCTCTCCCCTTGGCTGGCTGGGAGCCACCTCGCAGGGGGTGAGCCACCATGAGGTGGGGACCACAGCCACCCCTCTCCCCTTGGTTGGGGAGCCACGCAGGGGGTGAGCCACCCCCGCGAGGTGGGGACCAATAGCCACTCCCTCCCTTGGCTGGTTGGGGTTTGATCGCAGGGGGTGAGCCACTCCCCGCGAGGTGGGGGACCACAGCCACCCCTCTCCCCTGGCTATTGGGACACTCCCTAGGGGTGAGCCACCCCCCGCTGCAGGTGGTAATCATTAGCCACCCCTCCCCTGGCTATTGGGACACTTCGCAGGGGGTGAGCCACCCTCGCGAGGACCACACGCCCCCTCCCTCCCCTTGAGCCACCCGCAGGGGGTGAGCCACCGCGAGAGGTGGGGACCAATAGCCACCCCCCTTGGTTAGAGCCACCTCAGGGGGTGAGCCACTGCGAGGTGGGGACCAACAGCCACCCCCTCTCCCCTTGGCCAGGGGAGCCACCGCAGGGGGTGAGCCACCATGAGGTGGGGACCAACAGCCACCCCTCTCCCCCCTGTTGTTGGGAGCTCGGGGTGGTGAGCCACCCCACAGGGGCCACCCCTCTCCCCCTGGCTGGGACACTCGCAGGGGGTGAGCCACCGCGAGGTGGGGCACTGGCCACACACCCCTCTCCCCCTTGATTTAGTGAGCCACCCCCGCAGGGGACCACACACCCCTTCCCCGGCTATTGGGAGCCACTTCCGGGGTGAGCCACTCACAGGTGGGGACTCTAATGGCCACCCTCTCCCCTTGGCTGGGAGCTGACCGCAGGGGGTGAGTCACCGCGAGGTGGGACCACAGCCACCCCCCTCTCCCCTTGGCTATTGGGAGCACCCCAAGAGGGGGTGAGCCACCCCGGCTGGTGGTGACCAATAGCCACCCCCTCTCCCCTTGGCGCTAGAGCCACCTCAGTGGGGTGAGCCACCGATGTAGGTGGGGACCAATAGCCACCCCTCTCTCCCTTTATTATTGGGACACCCTCGCAGGGGTGAGCCACCCCTGGCGAGGTGGGGACCAATAGCCACCCTCTCCCCTGGCTTGGGGAGCCACCGCAGGGGTGAGCCACCCCCCGCGCAGGTGGGGGACCAACAGCCACCCCTCTCCCCAAGGCTGGGAGCCACCTCGGGCAGGGGGTGAGCCACCCCCCGCGAGGTGTGTGAACCAATAGCCACCCCTCCCCCTGGCTATTGGGAGCCACTCCAGGGGTGAGCCACCCCGCTGCAGGTGTGGGGACCAACAGCCACCCCTCTCCCCCTGGCCATTGGGAGCCACCGCAGGGGGTGTGAGCACTCGCGGTAGGTGGGGACCAATACACCCCCTCCCCTTGGAGAGGTGGAGCCACCCTCGCGAGGTGGGGACCACAGCTGCACTCCCTCCCCCTTGGCTATTGGGAGCACTCGCAGGGGGTGAGCCACCCCGCTGCAGGTGGGGACCAATAGCCACCCCTCCCTTGGTTGGGGGAGCTCGCAGGGGGTGAGCCTCGCGAGGTGGGGACCACACTCCCTCTCCCCCTCGCTGGCTGGGAGCTGCCCTCGCAGGGGGTGAGCCAGCACCCCGCGAGGTAAATCAGCCACCCCCTTCCCTGGCTATTGGGAGCCACCTGCGGGGGTGAGCCACTTCGCGAGGTGGGGACCAACAGTCACCCCTCTCCCCCTGGCTATTGGGACACTCGGGCAGGGGGTGAGCCACCCCGCGAGGTGGACCAAACAGCCACCCCCTCTCCCCTTGGCTAACAGACACTTCGCAGTGGGGGTACGAATTTCCATGCCAGGTGGGGTAATCAACAGCCACCCCTCCCCCTCAAGAGAAGCCACCGCAGGGGGTGAGCCGCCTCCCCGGGCGAGGTGGGGAACCACAGCCACCCCCTCTCCCTGGCTATTGGGACACTGCGAGGGGGTGAGCCACCCCGACGCAGGTGTGGGGACCACAGCCACCCCCCTCCCCCTGGTTGTTGGGACACCACAGGGGGTGAGCTTCACCCCGCGAGGTGTGAATCAACAGCCACCCCCTCTCCCCCTGGCTATTGGGACACTCGCAGGGGGTGAGCTCGCGAGGTGGACCAATAGCCACCCCTCTCTCCTTTCCCAAGAGTTGGGAGCCACCCCAGGGGTGAGCTGGCACTCTCGCGAGGTGGGACCAATAGCTACCCCTTCTCTTCCCCCTGGGACACCAGGGGGTGAGCCACACCGGCGAGGTGGGGACCAGCCCCCTTCCCTTGCTATTGGGACTTCAGGGGTGAGCCACCTCTCCACAGGTGGGGAATTCATTAGCCACCCTCTTCCCTGGCTATTAACACTGCAGGGGGTGAGCCACCCCGCGAGGTGGGGACCAATAGCCACCCCCTCCCCCTGGGCGCTGAGCCACCTCAGCAGGGGGTGATTTCACCCCCGCGAGGTGGGGACCAATAGCCACCCCCTCTCCCCCTGGCTATTGGGAGCCACCTCGCGCAGGGGTGAGCCACCGCGAGGTGGGGACCAATAGCCACCCCTCTCCCCCTTTGGTTATTGGGAGCTTGGCCTCGCA